CTGAGGGGGGCGGGGGGAGCGATGGGGGGCCCCGTGGCAGAGGCAGAGACACCAGAGAGGCTTTGGCTGGGGGGAGAGGCTGGCCCCGAGGGGTCTCTCGCCCCTCCAGCTGCACTAGGAGCCAGGACGCAGGGCTCTGCTCACAGGGGAGAGCCGACTCTCCGGCCGTTGCTCCGAAAGGTCCCTGCAGGGCTCATCTCCCTTTGGAATGCGGGGACGTGGGCTGCGACGCCTCTGTTCCCGGCAGGCGCGAGGGCACCCAACCTGGCTGGGCGCGAGACCGGGGAGCGCCGACGGGCTGTCCTGTCCGCTCACGCCAGCAGCACAACAGCGATGCAGAAGCCAAAGCAATTCAAGAAAAAGCAGGAATTTTAGAGAGACATTCCCAGCCTCTCTAGGCCAGAGCGGTGCACAGCATACTTGGCAAGGCCAGGACTCATTAAAGCGATGTCACTCTGTGTCTGCATTATCCCGAGCACGTTTGCCATCAGCTAGCCAAGCCAGTGTGATGGAGGCTTTGGGGTCCTTCTTGTAGGATCCCAGCACTTGGCTTCTGCCCTTCCTTTCCAGCTTTTGCCTCTCAGGTTTTCCTTTCCTACCCTCCCCACTGCTGTCCGGTGCTGCAGCCAAACCGCACGGAGATCCCCTAGCGCTTGCTGCCAGGGCCTGCGTTAGCCCAGCAGCTTTCAGTTACACTATCAGCATGCTTGGGCTGCAGCCACATATTTGATTATGTTCCTGCAGCTCTGTCCAAACCCCTGGTCTGGAAAACACTTACTATGCCTGCGAGTAACCATGCACGCTGTGCTCCCCGGGAGGGCTCACACGCGACTCCCGAGCCTGCACGCAGGCGCTGCTGAGGCCAACCTGCCTGCGGAGGGCAAAGCCTGGCCCGCGTGCCCGAGGGATAGCTAGATAATGAGGAATACAGTTACTGCCCAGTTCCTCTTCCATCTGCCTGTGTTTTAAAATACACAATAAAAGAGGAATGGAAAGGTCTGGGTGGTTTGGTTTTGTTTTTACTTGGGTTTTAACTGGGGGAAAGAAGCAGCTTTGTTCATATAGTTGGTGTAGGTTTTTTCTAGGCTTTCTTTTTCCCTCTCTCTTTCTCCTACTTGCACCCAAAAGGCTTTGAAATGGGTGAACTTCCAGGTCTATGGAAAGAAAAAAGGGCAGATGTTTTATTTCCATTCTTTGTGGGGCTACAGCACAAAGAAAGCACTGAAAAACAAAATGTTTGGTCACGCTCACTGGAACGTCAGTGCTGAATTTAAAACAAATCACGAGTGACCGAGAACACCCAAAGCAAATACCACCACACTTCGTAATTTCTAAAAGCTCAGACCTAAACTCAGGTCCCAAATCCGTGGTCCACATCCACCTCCAGCAGAGGTCTTCCCAATTACCTTCTCAAACAGAAGCAGTTAACTATGCATCGCCCTTCGCTTTCTGCTACGTGAACAGAGGAGTTGAGCCAATCGCTCCTCTTTGCTAGTTTCAACACCAGGTTTGCAATATGATTGATAAAATACCGCGGCTGATTCCTGATCTTGCTCCCATGCCGTGTACATCCATGGGATTCCCTGCGCTCCGCTGGGACTGGTGCTGATGTACAACAGCGTGGATCAGAATGGACTCAGACCCCCAGGCAAAGAAACAAACAAACTCAGGGCTATGTGTGTGTGTATATAGTGTAGATATATGTATATATGTATGGACTATTCAAACACTTGCATTAGGAGAACAAGAGCAGTGTCGACACATTCCGCCACAAATCGAATTGCCCCGAACAGAACAGCAATGCTTAGAGCAGGACTGGCTTTGTCGTTGCAGCGAACATCCCCATACTGCTCTGGAGCTGACTGTCGAAATGCACTGTGTTTGTTATTCAGGAGGTCAGAGGGGTTCATCAAAATGGTCTTTTTTGGCCACTGCATCTCAAAAATGAATTGTGAAGAGCATCAGACTCAGATGCCCAAGCGCAGGGTATGACACCTGCAGGTCGGCTGGTAGATCAGCCCTCTGGCAAAGGGCATGGATCCCTGGCCTCCAAACTGCAGCTCCTGCAGATCAGGCCCTTTGGGTCTCAGGAGTTTCAGAGACTCTTTGCAAGTCTGGTGATTTTGTCCTGCTCATTTTGTGGCATCTCGCCACACCTAGTAGCCAGCCTTGCAAATCTGGGATCCGAGTCATGTGGAAAATCGCTGTTTGGGTAGTTCATGCTCCCCTTGGGTGGTCGCACAAATTGTTACTGGCTTTACACGTCCAGGGCAAGGAACAGACTAACAAAACCAGCCCAAACCAGGAACGAAACTGAATCAGCGCAAAAAGCAGCAAGATCCTTGCATTCCCAACGAAAAGGTGTGAGGGCGCGTCTGCAAACCTGCCGTGAGGCGCCAAGATTCTTCAGTGCCAACCTGCACTGAATCCCCTGCCTGCATCCCATGACACTATCCAAATCAGCCAGCTTAAAGCTTAGTTACGTACGCCAGCATGCGCTTCAGTCAACGAAGACTTTCTATCCCACGTGCCTCCGCGAGCCCGAGCCTCATTAACCAGGGCAGCAGGGGATCAAGGGCCTCCCTCCAGCCAGGACAGCCGGCACAGCGCTGCACCAAAGGCCAATACCCATGTCCAAGTGGATGTTCCACAGAGAAGCCGAGTTCCTCTACAGCTTGCAAATGTCACCACACTACCCCACTCCCTGCAAGAGCCTTGAAATCGCGCTCAACGTTTCCTAACCAGGCGAGTTTTTTCAGTACGTTTGCAGCGTGCAGCTCTGTGGCTTGCTCTGGGAAGAGGAAGAAAGGAGGTCGAGGAGCTGAGGGGGATTACAGACTGCCAACAAATACTGCCGCAGAGGTTTCGGCATACTGTTCCCCAAACCGCAAAATTTTCTTGGAAAAGAACTCGAAAAGTGGCTAAAATGAGTCACGCAGGCCACCCGATTAGCACGCAGCGAGTTCCCTCGCGTTGCAGTTTCAAGTTCTTGTACTTTGTACCTGCCATGGAGTAAGGCACGAAGGATCAGCAGGTTCATGCTGGACACAGGCAGGCTGGGGCTCGTCCCACACCGGTGCTGCTCTGCACGCATCGATCCACACCGGCTTAGCTACGGCCAGGTGAAGGAGAGCGTGGTCCAGTGGTCAGCGTACTCCCACAGGATGCCAGGAGATTTTTCCTTGGGAGAGTTCTCTGCACAAATATCTCCAAAGCCAATACACTCCTCTTGATGAAGGAATTAAAGTTAAATGTTACCAGGTCAGGCCTGATCCCAGTCATCAGTGACTGCCTTTCATTTCAGTTTTCTCAGCCCACCCAGCTCTGCCGTCCGGCAGCATCCAGAATCGAGGCCATCGGTTTTGATGCCACTGTATGAAGAAATGCAAATACAAATTATTCATACATCAAACTCAGAAATACCAAACCACTCTTCCCCAGGTTGTCCTCCCAGGTGAAGAATAATATTTACTCCTGCATTGCCTCACTGGTTTAAGTATAATTTTCAAATTATTTTCCTCCATCCTGGGGTCTTGGAGAGCTTTCAGATCAAATCTCAAAGAGCCGGTTGCCACCAGACTTTCAACCAGACTTTGTCCAGGCGTTGCTGAACGCTGGCACTTCTCTGCATTACAAGGTGCTGTTCTGGCAAAGCTGAGGGGTCCGGTGTGCACCCAGCATGAATGCACATAGGGGGAACAGTACAAAGAGGGTCTTTCACATGGGTGATCATAGCAGAGTGAGGGGAGGAGGAAACTGGAGACCGGGAGCAGCCCTGATCCTGACATCTGGAAGCACTCATGGTGCTGGATCCTCTGGGGAGCAATAGGGGGTGAGTGTTGTCACGGTTCCTTCCCTCCAGAAGATGGTTGATGAAGCCACAGCTTAGCTCTAGGCACTAAAAAAACTTACAACGATGCAGGAAAAAATGACAACTATTCCTTGAAGGCTGAGCTGTGCATGATGGAGGAACTCACTGGGGAGATCCTCCCACAACCCTGGCCTTTAACCCCCGCAGCTGGGCACCGGGGAGGAATCTCCTCAGCCAGCAAGCTGGCTCAGAGACATTGCATCCTCACCCCCAGTCTGCCCGTGGACATAGGACTTCATCGCTGCCTGCTTGTGAGTTGCTTCAGTACAACGCACGCTCATCTGAGCCCTGCCTCGCTGGCTGACCAGGCTTTGAGTCGCATGAACACCTTCTTTCCATTTCCATTCCTGTTCTTTACCTCATTCAGAAAAGAAAAAACAAATCCACGCACCACGTGGACCTTCCAGTTTTGCTGTGAGTGATCTCTCCCTCCCTTCCTGACCCCTTTTCAGGCGTGTGCGCAGTGGTGAGAGTAGAGGCTGGACTCCAGAAAACAGAGGATGTTTCTGTTCGTGGTTGATTATGCATTTGCCACTTTTATTTTAGACCTCTGGTTAAGAAAAAAAAAGAGCGCGAGAGAAAAAGACAGACACAACCCAGAAGGTTCAAAGCTGTTTTTCAGATGGACAGTGACAGATAAGAAAACCCCACCAACTGCCACCGCCACTGAATGACCCAGAAGACATCCTGTACAGCGTGCTCTATTAATAATAACAGCACACAATGGATAGTAGCCTTAATACTGTCATCCTAGAGGAGCAGAAAAGTGGCACCAGCCAGAGGTCAAGGGGG